AGCATGTTCTAGTACACCCCCAAAACAAAATCAAGACTTTGTAAAAGAGCATAATAGGACCCCTTTAAGTATATTTAAAACTATATGTAAACCTTTAGTTTTAAATTACATACTTATTTTTACCCTTAATATATATTTATTAATATTATATTACAAATGTTTACATTTAAATATATTTAAAATTACATATATATTTTTATAATTATATATTTTATAAATTACACACTTTTTTAAATATGAAAATAATTATCATTATATTAAATTGATATATACAGCAACTTCCTTAACAAAAAATAATAATAATAATAATAATAAAAAAAAATGTTCGGCATTGTAAAAAAAAAGTTATTTTATCCCTATATATATATATATATATATATATATATTCTTATAAATTTATATCTAAATAAATTAGAATTTCTGTATATTAAATACTCAATAATATATATAGAAGATGGTCACAGAGAGACAGATTTGCCTTAAAACGTTGATTCTGGCAAAGCTCTGCCATTGGAGCCGTAATCAATGCACTAAAGCACTACAGCAGAGCCTGACAAATGCACTGAGAGGAGGTTTAATGCGGCCATCTGCACACGGTGGCAGTAAATGAGAGCGCTTTGTGTTTTGGGGCCGCTGGCAGGTTTAATGCGATCCTCTCGGGGTCTCAGGGGTCTGCCGGGGCCCATCGTATCTTTAATGGAAAACACCGCAGCGACTCGATGGATCCTGCCCGGCTTTACGTGGTCTAAAACAGAGCGGCGATGCATGGACGGACCTGCAGCCACACATTAAACATAAATAAATTAAAGTGAAGCCATTTGTCTGCTTCATCCGTTCATCTGCTGAAGGTCAGCGCAATACGAGCTTTTACAAATGTAGAAACGATGGATGCTCGCCATCAGAGAGGCTCTGAGTAACGCACATACGCATGTTAGCGCTGCTTTCTGTAGCAGCTATTCTGAATGTCTTTCATACAGCTAATCAATGAGTTTGGAGCTGATAAATACAACGGCTGATCGATTCTCAAACACACAGCTCTCAGTCAAGTTCTGCACGAAAAAATCCCATGCATTTTCTCCATAGAGCAAAATATTTTGTGTGATAAAGTTGATCAGTTATTCCTGTTGGCAAATAATCTTCAAAACAAACATATACACTGGAATTTATTTATTTATTTATTTGTTTTTCTGCTTCAAAATTTCACATGCAATTCAATATGTTACTCGCCATTTCTCTGCAATTATTTGTGACATTTACTAGCAAGAGTTTTTTATACAATATAAAAAATGTTACATATAAATGAAAGTACATATATATTTTATATATACTAAATATTAAATGTAATTATTATAATATTAAATATAATTATTTATTTTATAAATTACATGTATTTTTAAAATGACATATAATTTTATTTTATATATTAAAATGATCATTATATACAAATTTATCAACTTTTAAATTATATACAATAAAGCAAAAAAACAAAGAAAAAAAAGAAATTTA